TTTCCAATTGAAAACTCCATGGAAATTTAAGTCCATCCCCTGACCTTTGATCCCTTCCTGTCCACCTTCTGCTTTCTTTATGCGTTGTTTCCCTTTTCTAACTTTTTAAAATTCTGTTTGTCTCTCCTTTTACTGTCACTTTATAACTGGACTTTTCATTTATTGTTCCTTAAATAATTAAATAGACTCCATTTGCTTTCCTGCTTCCAAGCCAGAGTAGCATCCCACTTATGTGCTATCACTCACTTCTATCACCTTTCATTTTCTCTTGTTAGCATATCTTTATAGTGTTATTTGGCAAGCACAGATTAACTTTCTTCTTCTTCCCAAAGGGTAAGTTACCAGCTTTATGAAACTGTCATTAATGAAGTGCCAAATTCTTTAAAACACATGCTAACCAGCTGAATTGACCCTGAAACGCAAAGGTAAGCCTTAATCAAGTAAATCAAGATCTGCAGCGCTAATTTTCATCTCTGTTTAAGTAAAAAGACCAATTATTCAGGTCAACGTATCTCTGAAAAGGCCTTTTACCAGTCCTGTTTCCTCGAGACGCATTTTTATCTACTTTCTGTCTGTGGAGCTGAGATACTAAAAGCCAAATTCAACTCCTGAGCAAGGCTTCTAGTCTCACTCAAATTGACCAAAACATCTTTTCTGAAGGTCCATGGCAAACCCATGGCACAGCACGGAGCTGAGCCAGAGGGCTATGGTACAACCCCACCAGTCACCCCAAACTTCAAGAGTCAAGCTACATAGTTCAGCCACTACCTTTCTCCTTGCTGTCTTCTATTTCTCCCCTATTTTGAGAGTATCTGGCCTTTTTCATCTGTTCTCATTTGGTTCCTCTCTTTCTTTCATCCCTACAAAAGTTCATACCCTCCAGAGAAAGAATACCATTTTAATTCAGCAATCACTGCCTTTTCCTTGCTGATGGAAAACAGAACCCAGGAGCTGCACTGATCCTTATGGTAAAAGGTTTTCCCCATGCCCATTGCCAAACTCAGTCAGAAATAAGCCAGTTTCTGAAAAAGATCTGCTTGCTTAAGGTACTTAATGGAGCATTTAAATATCCAGGCGGAGAGGAATAAAAGATACTTTCTTGTTCAGTAATGGTAAGCATTGCTTTTATATTTCAAAGTTCAAACCAAGTGTGTAAAGCAAGCCAGTGCTAGATACAAATGTTGATAAGTCTATAGGGGTAAACAGAGCAGGTCATCAATGGCAAGTACAGACACAGCCACCAGTTACCCACAAAAATCCCCATGAAGCTCAATCATACATCTTTAACTGTTGTGAAATAATGAGATCTTCCTCTACAGTGGGTTCAGCAATTGTACATCTGAACCATGAGCTCTGATGAAGCAGCAAGTAAAACTGGTACCACATCACACTCTTTTTTCCTCTGGGATGCACCCACAAATCTGTTGTACATCCAGACTACCAAACTCACCAGAAAGATGGAGGCACAGAAACTACTTACGAAAAGAGCTGGACTGAAACTAGAAGCAGAGATTAAATTCACCAGAACAACCCTAAATTTGATGCTACTTCACCCATGGGACGTTGGATCTAAGAGCAGAAGGTACACCTTGTTCATGCATGTGTTTGCAGACTGTAATCCCCATAAAAATACTTACTGAATTTGCCGAGAAATTCCTATATCCTTTTTGCTTGTACTTTCTGTAGACATACTGACATTTGATTCATACAAGACCAAAGTGCTCTACTAAAATTGCACTTTCTGGAGGTTAGTTTTACTAATAAATAAAATATAATTTTAAAATGCTTGGCCAAACAAGCCAAAGTAAATGCTACATATTCCATGAACTCAAATAATTTATTCCTGGCTCAAAATACTGTTATTTTAAAAAAAGATTCTGTTTAACATTATTGTAAGTTTCTAAATTGTTCCGTAAGAGTTTTCTCTAAGCTTACGAACAAATTTACACATTTTTGCTAGCCACAGAACACTAATTTAATCTACATTCTCTAATGAGGGTTGATCCAAAGACCATTCATGCAGATGACAAGGACAGTAGTTATGTGCAAATCCTGTAAGTCATCAGGATGCAATATTCCACTCTGAGAATAAGTACTTTCCTTAGTTCATCTTCTGATTAACTGAAATGGCAACAACAAATATTTCTACACATATTCCTTCGTGCTTAAATCATCCACTTCATAAAAAAGGTTAAAACCTTCCTGCCAGTGAGCCATGTATCCTTGTGTTACTTCCATAAATATTCCTAGTGAAGTGACAGGAAATATCCTTAAAAGCAAGACCCAGAAGTACCTTATTATTTAACTGAACATCTAAAGGTGCTTTTGTAATGAAGCAATACATTTTCTCTAGCTTTAGACACCTGAGTTAGCACTTCTGAATACAGTGGAATTTTATAAATTTCAGTTCTCCTGCCAAGAGGATATTTCTTGAGCTGACATATCATGCACTTGCTCTGTTACTCTAGTTACTCTAACAGCGTTTCAGTGTGAAGAGGAAGAGTTCCCTACCTCCTAAAAGATTTGAAATAGAGCCCATAAAGCACATGTATCCTTAAGTCTTGCTATTCAGCTTATATATGGCAGAGCTCTCACGGACTGTATTAGCTCAGCACTGGATCCAGACCACAGACTTATATGCCTATTAAATTATACTTCTTTTTTGATTAGTCTCTCATTTGAGGCAAACCACATTCATTTTTGATAGTTGCAGGTACAATCCTCCTCCTTATTCACTCAGGCCCTGATCTCCAAGATACTGAGCAGCTTCAACTCTCCCTAAGGCAATTGAAAACTACAATCACACACAGAAGCTCATTTTAGTTGGACTGAAGTCAGCGCAAATTTTACAGCGGACCTCAGGGAAGGCAAGATCAGGGTTCAGTGACCCAACCAGCAATAGCTGAATAAATGTAAGAGATCTGGACTTAACCTCACATTCTTCTCTTACTAAAATCCAAGACATCTCATTAGCACCAATGAGCACATTGCTACATAGTGTTGTACACTGGAACTCTCTGACAGTGGGCTTGATCCTGCTATCTTGAGCCATCATGGTATTACCTGTAGAAGTAATCCCACAGAAACCCACAGCAACTTGCACAAGTAAGGGTTGCAGCAATCACATTGTTATAATTAATTCCTAGCACTTTTACTAGAAACTAAACTAGAAAATTAGACTCTGAACATAACAAAGGTTTTGCAAATTAGTTCATTCTACAGCTTACTTTCTTTCCCTCTAAATCAAACTAGAAGCCCACTGTGTTCCTGTCCTTTTTAATTAAATTACTAAGAACAATATCAATGGGTAAGCCATATGAACACTGTGGTGTTCTATATCAAAGCCTCCAAGCTACCACATTCAGTAGGGCATGACGCACACCTTGCAATTTAAATGTACAAATTATTAGACAGATTACTACAAGAAGAAATTTTTTCCTGTTCGTTTTCAGCATTCAGAAAAGGCTATCACATTGGAGTTTTCAGCTCGGAAAGAGGTAATTTTCCTTTCCTTTCCAAATCTGTAACATTTTCTCATGGCAACTATTTTTTTAAAATAATTACAATAATCTCATAAGCATTGCCTTATTTTGTTATTTTCATATACATGTAAATACTTCTGGGATTACTTCTTTGAGAAGAGCACTAAATGTTGTTTGCTTGGTTTTCATTCTGAGTCTTTAAGTAGAAGGTTTATTTATGCTTTTCAAGTTATTTGGCTGTTTTTATTCTGTAATCACACCATTTCTGCTATCTAGGGACAATCAGAAAGACTGGGTGATAACCTGTAGCCTGAATCACTTTGACATTTTCTAACAGGCACTCTAAAATCATCTAATTTTTGAAGGCAGAAGCCAAAAAGGAAAGAAGAATTCTCATTGGCACATCTGAGGCATTTTCCAAATTTTTGGCAAGGGAAATTCTGGATGTGTAGCTCGCCAGAAAGCCGAGAGAAGAACCCGCGGTTCCCACAGACACTGAGTACCCAGCACCCGGTTGTTACAAGCGATCCTGACGTTTCTGTCCGGGCTTTAAGGTCGCTGCCGTGCACCGCTCGGTGCGCCGGGACGGCAGCGGGACCCCCGACCGCCGGTCCCCGCGCAGGGCCGGGGGGCAACACATCCCCCGCCACGGCTGCGTCCCGGAGGGCGGCATTCGCCCCCCGGGGAAGCCCCAGCGCCGCCCGCTACGGTCCCGCCCGGTGCCTCGCCGTGCAGCGGGGGCGACGCAGCTCACCTGGGCGCAGCAGGCACCGCCGCTGCCCTCGCAGCGCGGCTGCCCCCGCTGCTGCCATTTGTTGCTTGCGTTCGGAGGGAGATGCCCCCTCCTCCCCATCGCAGCCACAGCCGCCTGATCCGTAGCAACTGGTCTTGGTAGATCTCAAAGTGGAAAAATCCTAAGGCAACACACACGGCGTCTTCCCACCCCTCCCCACCTCCACCGCCCCCTTCCCCGCCAGCTCCGCTTCGCGCTCCGGCCGCCGCCCGCACACTGATCGGCGCGACCGACCTCCGGCAGCGCGCCCCGCACACGGCCGGGGGGCAGCGGCCAGGAGCCCTGGGAGCGGAGATATATGGGAGGGCGCTTTATTTTCCTCTCGCCTTTCTGATGCCGCTCCGGTACGGGACCGGGGGCCACGGGTCTCAAATCCCTCGTTTGCTCCCAAGCGAGGGGGTGTCAGCCCCCTTCCCGCAGCCTCCGCCTCTTGATTCCCTCCCCATCCCCCGCTGCCTCGGCGGAGCTCCGACCCCGTCAGCCCCCCAGCACTCACAGGCATCCGAGGTTCGCCAGCACGGGCAGGGGGAGAGAGTATCTCCCCTGGCCCTCGCCGATCAGTGCCAGGCAAGGCGGCACGGCACGGCACGGCACGGCATGGCACGGCGGTAGCCCCTCGGCGGCAGCACCGCTGCTCGCCACCCCCCCCCCCCCACTCCCTTCCCGTGGAGTTTCTTCCCGGCGCTACCGTCCCCCCAGCACGGCCGCGAGGCCCCGCAACTCACATCGCGGCGCGGCGCCTTCCCGCAAAACTTCCCGGCTATTGCCCCCGGCTGCTCCGCCCGGCTCCGCTCCGCTCGGCGCAACAGGCAGCGCAGCCTCACCTGGCGCGGGGCCGCCGCGCCATGGGAGCGACGGGCGGAGCCTGCGGGCGGCGCGGCCGGGGCGGCGGGGCCCGGGCACGGCCACCGCCCGCCCTGCCCTGCTGCCTCCGCCGGGCGGCTGTGCTGCCGCGCCGCCGCTCCCTCCTGCCCCTCCGCTGCGGCTGCGGGTACGGAGGCAGGCGGGCAGGGAGGGAGGAGAGAGCGGGGCGGGGAGGGAGCGAAGGAAGAGACCTCCCTCTCGCTCCCACGGAACAGCGGGGAGGTGCTGGCCGGGGCGGGTGATGCTGCCCGTCTCTCGCTGGGGCTGACGGAGGGCTCTCACCCTGCAGCTCCGCGGGCAGAGTCGGGGCCGCCCGGTGGAGGCCAGTGCGCGGGCACAAGCGCTCTCTCCCGCGGGGTGCCGAGGGGCAGAGAGCCCTGCCTACCGGGAGCACCGCAGCGGGCGCGGGGTGCCTTAAGAGGGTGCTTCTGCTCCCCCCAGTGCCCGCCGGGTTCCCCAGCAAAATACGAATAAGGTTGATTGTTTTGCCAGTCTGAATGAACAGCTGTCATTGCCAATGTATAATACTTTATTCGGCAGACTTGTGTATTGTAGCACAGTTCACCTACAATAGCTGAACTTACTCTGCGCCGAACCTCACCAACTTTTTGCCTTGATCCAGTTATTCAGACCCTGCTTTGGGTTTACCACGGTTCTTGCCGGAGCGACTCAATTCTCTGAGAGGTTCTTCTGTGAAATGTGCTGTGTTGCAGCAATTGCGTGGACTGTCAAAACACAGACTTGAAGAAACATCACCAGCTGGTTCCCTCTCTCACTCTAACGTGCATTCTCTGTTGTGCACTTTTCTATTCTGGCTCTGCAAAGTAAACTTTCTATGCATCTCATGCAGCAAAGAATTTTGTTGCCTGTCTCCAGGTGAAATCACACGGGTAGATGGGTTTTAGAAAGATCCATTTTTACTTGGTAGCTGATTTGCTTTAAGGTGAAAGCTGTCTAAGATGCTGCATGGAACAGAAAATTAATTGGCTTGGATTTCCTCTGTTTGGGTTTTTTTGTTGTTATTTTTTTGGTTGGTTGGTTTTTGGTTTGGTTTTTTGGGACGTTGTTTGTTAAGGGTTTTTTTGCCTCTAACTATACAAAGTGGTTTATCTCCATATAGGCCATTGTTAAAAAGAAACTCCTAAGTCAGAAGGACCTGTACTATGGCCACATACAGGTGGTCTTTGGAAGGGAGGGGAGGAAAACTTGAAACTAATACATTGCTAAATAGCATTTTCCATCTGTGAGTCTCTACACAAGTAAATATTTACCTTCCTGAGTAATAAGTCTGAATGATATTAGCAAGATAATGTAGGAACAGGCCTTTCTGTTATATCAAAACCTACTCTTTTTGCTCCTAAGAATTATTGCAAATTGATTTATGAACGCTTTCATCTATGCCTGTCATTTTACATTCTTATTAGTGTAAGAGGAAATAAAAAATGCAAAGAAACTTGATAAAAATCACTTTCATCGGTTTCTTACATGTTTTTCTCACTGACTGACTCAACCCAGCTTTGAAGACATAATCAGTTAAAAAACAAAAGCATAGTGCATGAGCATGCATTTCTATGTGCAATGTGTTGGATTGTGTCACAAAGCCAGTGAAGACAGACAGAAGAAGCCATGACTGAACTACCAGCCTTGTATTATTTGCAATGGGAAACAATTTTCAGGCTTTGTGAGCTTTACTCCTTTAGCTGAAACTGACTCAGATTCATTTTAATACAGTAGAAAAGTATTAATCATTACTGAAAACCCAAATCCAAAATCTAATGTGCAGGAGCCCTTTCTTACAATTCAGTTTGTGCTCATATTTATACTGTTCAGTATATAGGTATCTGAGAACTGGGTATAGCACCCAGAATGGATGCACTTGGTTGCTCATCCCTGCAATACACCATATGGCAAGCATTGCAAACCTCCTTGGAACAACTTACTACTCTTAAGTATTTTTTAATGAAAAAAAAATTAGCAGATCTGCTTTTCATTTGGCTCAACAGTAAAAAAAAAAAAAACAACCAAAAAAACCCCAAACAAACAGAACAACAATAACAACAACCAACCAAACAAAAAAGAGATTAAATAAAAATGTGGTAATTTCACTTTAAAATTGAACCTCTAGTTGTAGTTTGTGGAGTGAACATAGTTAACATAGTTAGCTATTATAGCAATGAGACAACTGATCTTAGCTTGCATAACTTAATTTACCACATTAGCCAATGATGTTATTCATCGTATTGACTTGAGTGTGATTGTTTGTGTCAAGGGAAAAAGAACCTCACAAAAAGATAGAAATACTTATTTTTGTTGTTGAAATTGCACCTTATTTTGTGTTTTTAGACCAGCTGCACATGAGTAGCTGGTTTGCAGGCTTGTATTCAAAGACTCACTCCTGAGAGCAGCTAAACGTCACAGCTTCAGTTGAAATTAATGGGTGTTCAGTATATCTCTGAAACAGACAGAAAGTACTTTTTCTGGAGGAAAATAACTGTAAAGGGATGGACAGCTACTTGCTGTTAAAAATGTCACAGATTTTTAAGAAATGAAATATTGATGATGTCATGATTGTTGTGTGCAGTAGAAAGACTATATTATTATTCCAGGTGGAAGAATCTTAGATCCTAGAACAAACCCACTAGCAGATTCGCTGACTAGCTTACTGACATCTCATGTCCCTTTTACATAAGTAGAAGTGAAAGGATTAGTCCTCTATTAGGAAGGAGTATGAGTTTAAAGGATAAGGGGAAGGTAATTTGATTGCCCCCAGATAAGAAAAAAAATGCTAATACTTGCTGACTTCTACACATAGTTATTAAAATTAGGGAGCATAAAATAACAGGGGATACCAGATGGTTCTTCAGTTTCTCTCATAAAATAATTTTGATAAGTGTTTATAAATATTTAGGACCCAGTAGTACCAACCTTTACACTAATATTTTTTTCCTAATGTAAAAAAACTCTACATAATTCAGTGAGTTTGTGAGTAAGGATTATTCATACGAATAAGACTTTACAGGTTTAGATCCTTAAAATTTATAAACATTAACAAAATATTTCAATTGATTAAAGAATCATCTAGTACTCTCTATTCCTTTAGTCTTCCCAGATATTAATAGCTTTGTACAAAAATCGGTGAAGAATGCCACTTTCACTGCTCAGATAAATTGAGTGACCTCCTCTTTATCCATTGACTAATATTCGTTTTACTAGACGATCAATTCTCTTCATAGCCAACAATGGTATGAAATTAATATTCTAGATGTAGGTACATTAAAAAACTAAATCTCACAGCGGTCTTACTTCTAGCGGCACGTGCTTAGGAGTTTAAAGGGAATATTGTATTCACGGGCCAGAGTGTGATTTTTATGTAGAGAACAGTGCAAAGGCATGTCAGCAGTGCATTCTTCTTGGGATTACTCCATACTCTAAGGAAGGACACATGCAGGTCTCAGAGCAGTAGTCTGTGTTGAGCCACAAGAAAAGCAAAAAGCACTAAATTTTTCATCCTGGGAATACTAAAAGCAGCACAAACCACAGTGTTCACACTAAAGCCACATTCCTAAACTGGATATCTGATTCTGCTCTCTCTCTAGCCTGGATGGTACCAGCAGTCCTTATGCTCCTCTCAGCCCATAGGTACTGCTACTGCATGTAGAGGTGATGAGATTTTGCCCTGAGAAGATTAATAATAAATAAAAGTCATCTTTGGGGAGGGCCAGTACAAATCCTTTGTGTCTCCTAATCTTGCTTAAGCCCTGTGCTGGCAACGCACAGACCGTCTTGATTTATGAACACTGCTACTCTCACAAGGCTTTGAGGACTGGACATTAAACACTCTCTTCAAGAAGCACCACTAGTTTCTATGTTCCTGTATTTGGCAGATTCCGTCACTTTGAAAGGTCTGTCTGATCTTGCACATAGTCCCTTTTCTATGTAGCAAAGAGATGAACTGAATTATAGAGGAGAATTTCTGTTTTAAATAACAGAAGGTCCTGGTGTTTTAGTCTTCTCACAGAATAGCATGCATTTCTGGGATACTTAAGTACTGGAAAAAGAACCAGAGAATAAATATATTTAATCCTGGTCAAAACTGATTGGTGGAAGTTAGGTCTTGTAAGATATACTTGTTGTGGAATTTTTGGTTATTTCGAAGATTTATGTAAAAGATTACAGGTCTGCATGAGAAAAGCAGATGCATTGATAGAACGTACTTGGATTTCTGCAAAGCAGTTAACTTAATACCACACGACATTTTGATTTCAAGTCTTGCATTACATGGAATTAACAGGTCGCCTATTGTGAGGATTAAGAAGTGTCTCACTGACAAATTTCAAAATGTAGCCTTTTAATGGAGAGATTTCATTCAATATGGGGAGTTTTCCCAGCAGAATCAGAAACAGTCTTCACCTAATACTGTTTTATATTATTTTCAGCAATCCGGGCCATGAGATAAAAACTTTGCTTTAAAGGCTTACATATGGCGCAATTTTAGCATGGTAAATAAAGAAGATATATTACTTCTGCAGTGATTTGATTTGCCTGAATGATCACTGTCCAACAAGCAGCACACTAAATCCATTTTACTACAGTCCAAAATTGTAGGAATGCACACTGTGTCAGAGAGCAGAGACTTAGGGAATGGTAAAAAGTCATTACCCTAATCATCCCTAACATGAGGTCTCAGTACATTGCTATGGAAAGGATTCAGCACAGTCCTTGCGTGTTTCTAAAATATCAAGCACAGTTCTGGTGCCTGCACTTTAAAGAAGATGAGAAAATACTGGAGAAAATCCAAATATTTTGCACGTCTAGTACAAGTCTTGAGATGGGAGGCTTAAATAGCTGGACATATTCCACTTAAAAGCTTGAAAGGACACACAGAATAGTTAACAGTGGTGAGCTTTTCCACTTTTGCTGACAAAAGCATAACTAAATCCAGTGACTGGAAGTTTAAGGTTAGATGT